AACATCTAATTGGCAGGATTCCTGATTTTTCAGACACAGGGCAGGACTTTTTAAGGCATCACAGTGACATAGGATGCTGAAAAAGTTCAGAAACACACTTGATTTACTGTTGAACTATAAACATGCAGAGTACTGTATGTTCCTTGTGCAAATAACATTAACAACAAGCAGTTTTCCCTTATTACTTTTTCAAAACTAAAACCTCTTTCTTGGAACATTTTGAGAAAAATTTTCTTTCTCTTTTTTTCCAAATATTGGTTTTTTTCTTCAAAAAAGAAAGTAAAAAGTAAAGTGAGCAAAGTCCTCCCATTTTGCAGCAGTAAATGTACGGTGGTGGTGGTGGAAGCAGCACATTTAGCAACCAATTGCATGCTTTTCAGAAGTAATTTTCTAGGCTCTGAGGTGGTGAAAATGTCATGTCCCTGTTCTTTGCACCCCTACCCCACCCCACCCCACCCTCACCCCCCAAAGCAGATAATTCCTGGTGCTCGAAATGCAGTTTGTATTCTCAGGCTTCCCAAGTCTAAAGTGAGATCCATCTTTACCAAAGGACTTTCTCCGTGTACAGCATGTTTCCTATACAGAGGCTCAGTAGCTGGCTGGATAGCTCAGTGAGATAGGTATCTGGGTTGAGAGTTCAATTCCCCATTGTGGCTCTGTGGAGAAGAGCCAGCATGTGTGGCGTTGAGCAAGCTGCACAGTCCCAGGACATTCCCAGAATAAAGGAAGGGTAAACCACTTCTGAGTAATCTCTGCCTAGAAAAACTTGACAAGGGTCACCTTAAGTCAGAATTGACTTGATGGCAGGTGATTATTGTTATACAGAGGCTGCATTTAGTTGGATTGGGCCATAATCAAAAACTGATATTTTCTTTCTTCCAGCTCCATATATTCAAAGTAAAGACAAATGGCTCTTTGGTTATCAACCTTGAAACCATTTATATTTATTCCCTTCTGAAAAGAATTAAAGATAACCATATTGTAAGAATGGACTTGGTATGTACAGTATTTTTGATTTTGCTCCTATATTCAAGAAGTCATCATGTTAGGATTCTTTTTTAAAGTAGCAAAAACAATTTCACCCACTTTTAATATCAAAAGCTTCTAAAATAGACACAAGGAGCATTCTATCTAATTAGTTTCAAGGCTTTGAATTCTTATAGCTCAAGACCTTTTTTTAAAGCTCAGTCAGGAAGCGGAAAAATCCAACAAAGAAAATAACCTAAATGATAAACAAGAGGAAAGGAAAAAAATAGAGCACATGCCTTGTTGAAAGTTGAAAGCCAATGACAAAAAATATAATAAAATGATGAGATGGCAGTCTTTGAAGAGGTAGGGGAGCAGGGAAGTGGGCGTTAGAGATAAAAAAGAGTGCTCTTAATTTTTTATAGAACAAATATAGAAACAAATATTATAATCATACAGATAGTGCCATTTCCCAGTGTTTTGAAGATGATGAAATTGCTGCTCTTCCTAAATACACCAGAGGAGGTTATTCTACTTTTGGCATCAAACATTTTTTTTCTATTCTTGGTTTGCTGCCATCACACCCACTCACACTCACCCCAAAGTGTGAATATTTATAGCAGAGCAAGAAAAGTGCTGATTTTGTGTGATAAAATAGCACCCATTACCCCAAGCAGAGTTTCCATAGTTCTAAGCCTAGGCCACACACACACACACCCTGGCTGGCACCCTGACAGATAATATCCCTGTCACCAAGGGCGTACGCCAGGGATGTATCCTAGCCCCTCTCCTATTCAACCTCTTCCTCGCTGACCTCCCTTCTTCCCTAACTGGCACCGACTTTCCCCCCCTGCTCTAAATAACTCGTCTACCCCTCTCCTTATGTATGCGGATGATGCCCTTCTCCTCTCTATCACTAAATTGGGCCTCCGCAAGCTCCTCCTCTCCTTTCAACAATACTGTTCTAGCAACGATCTAACCATAAATTCAGAGAAAACCAAAATACTGGTTTTTGGCAAATCCTGGGCTCCGTCTTCCTGGAGAATTGGTAACTCCACATACCAACAGGTCCAGACCTTCAGATATTTGGGGATTCTTTTCCACTTTCGGCATTCATGGAGCCAAACATTTTTTTTCTATTCTTGGTTTGCTGCCATCACACCCACTCACACTCACCCCAAAGTGTGAATATATATAGCAGAGCAAGAAAAGTACTGATTTTGTGTGATAAAATAGCACCCATTACCCCAAGCAGAGTTTCCATAGGCCACACACACACAGCACTGATTCTGTTACATCTTACCCTAAAAGCCACCATGTCATGTTGATTACACATCAGTCTGTTCTGATTTCCAAAGCTAAGCAGAGTCTGCCTTGGTTACCATTTGAATGGGAAAAGGTAAAGGTTCCCCTTGACATTTTAGTCCAATTGTGTCCGACTCTAGGGCACGGTGCTCATCCCTGCCTCCAAGCCGTAGAGCCAGCGTTTGTCTGTAGACAGTTTCCGTGGTCACGTGGCAAGCGCAACTAGACACTGAATGCCCGTTACCCTCCCACCGAGGTGGTACCTATTTATCTACTCGCATTTACATGCTTGTGAACTGCTAGGTTGGCAGGAACTGGAACAAGTGACGGGAGCTCACTCTGTCGCATGGATTCGATCTTACGACTTCTGGTCTTCTGACCTTGCAGCACAGAGGCTTCTGCGCTTTAACCTGCAGCACCACCACGTCCCTTGAATGGGAAACCTATCTACAAAAGACCAGAAAGAAATCTTGCCTAAAATTCCAGAGAGCCAGTGCTAGTTGATGTGGTAGATTACATGGGCTAACAATCTAAGTCAGCTTCCAGTGTTCCCCTAATCTTGTTTCATACCTTTGCTTTCATGTGTATAAGCAACATGGCATTGGGGTACTGTTAAGGCACTTGGATCTGCTGTGGATAGGCACACCTGTATCCGTGGCAGAAGTCGGTTCTATGTGCATATGTTTGTGGCTGAAGATAAAAATAGGCGTGCTTCTTGCATGTACCATGCCTATTATGAATGGAACATACAATCTCCCCCCCATCCCAGACGCAGGACCACTTCCAATGAAAACAGGTGAAAATGTCTGCAAAATCGCATAAGGTGCACACACACACACACACACACACACACACACACAGAGAGAGAGAGAGAGAGAGAGAGAGAGAGAGAATATAAGCCAAAGTAATAGGGAAGCAAAAGCAAAAAGAAAAAGCCTACAGTTAGGGCTGAAAGCACAATGGTCAGACGTTAAGCAATTCCCCTGTTCAAGTGCTGAAGGCCACGCATAAAGCAAAGCAAGCTTATTTGTAAATTATGTCCTCCATAATTTAATTTCCATAATACGAAAGCCTCTTGGTATGCATTCAGATGCCCCCAGCCCTTAAGGAGTTCCCTCTTCTAGTTATGGGCTTCCTATAAGATCTGTTTTCTACCCTGAGTTGGCAGCTTGAGGCAGCAGTTGAGAGAAAGTGTGGAAGTGGCAGGAGCTGCCTGGCCATTCCCTTTTGTTTTGTGGGTTGCTCAGGTTCCAGGAGGCCAGTCTTACGATCCCATAACTAACCTGCAGCTGTTCAGGGTGGTGATGGAGGCTCTCCCCATCCCCAGTATAGAAGTAGGGTTCAACTACCAGTCCAGTTGACAAAGGGGCTACATTTTTTTTTCTTTCCCTCAGGCAGCAAAATGTCTCTATGAGGCCCTGCTCAAGGTTTTCTCCCCTTTCCTTGCTAGAGAAGAGAAGAAGAATTCTATATCCTCATTGTGCTCAGAGCTATTCTGGGCAGGGTGGAGTGAGTTCCTTCCACATTGGCAATGTCCACAGTTCAGAAGTAGCATTTGGGTACTTTTTCCCTTCCTGAAAGGATGGTACCTTTCTCCCATTTCCTTCTGCATTTCATTTTTGCCCCTATTGCCCTCATGCTAATTCCCGAAGGGGTGTTCAAATCAACTGAGAGGAGGAGGTGTGACACCCATCAACCCTATCCCAAACTTCATGCATTCCCCCTTCCCTCCTCCATGTTTAGCAAGATGCAATGCTCAAGTGAGAAGGTGACATATGGAAATAGAGGCCCTCTCTAGAAGAGAGAGGAGTCCAGGAAAAGCTGTACATGCATTGATCCCCTTCTCAGATTTACTGGACGCATGTGTAGATCATGTGTCCTGCATAGCCACATGGAATCGTCTTGCTTCATGTGAATTCATAAGGGATACCATGAGTATTCTACCTTGTGGTTTTCTTATCAAATTTCATTCTCAAATGTGGTATTGCAAATTTTTTGCAAAATATAAAAACTACTACTAATTCTTTCAATAGAATACAAAGAACTGGGAGAAGGAACATTGTGATGATGACGTGGGGAGATGTGTGCAGTTTTAGAAAAAAAAAATCCCACTCACTCCCATTGGCATGCAATGTATATACTTTCTATCCATATTAAAAGAGAAATCAGTAAAATATCTGTCACGCAAATCTAGATCTAAGAGAAATATGTCAAGGACATGCACTGATAATGAAGAAGAGTTGTCTGAAATATCAGATACAGTACATGTGAATTTGGAGAGAGAACAAAAGCGTATGAGAACGAGCAAGCTCTGGTAATCAAAAGGCTGAGCTGACCCTGTCGTTAGACAAAGTGAGGCATATACCGCAAGCAGTAGATCTGGGCATCATGAAAAGACAGTAAAATGGTTAGCTATTAATTTCTTAGTCTTCCGTTTCTATCACTAGAGAGGTGTTGAGGGAGACTTGTGGGATTTTTTCCTTCTGGTGCCAAAATAACTTGGCTGGTTGTGGGTTCTGTGTATTATGAGAGGGGAGGAGAGGTAGTATTAATTGCTTCAACCCACAAAGCAGAATGTCTTGGGTCAGCTTTGTGATGGAGAATGGGTTGGCTAGAGGCCAGGTTGAAGCACCCGCTGAGCCCTCAGCCTACACAGGGCAGGACATCACAAGCCACAATGAGCCTCGAAGCAACGCGTTTTCTTTTAAAATACCATTCTATTTTCCCAGAGGATTGAAGCAATTCCTCCTGATGGAACTTGTTCGCAGTTGCCGCTAATGAAGAAAACCTGGCCAAACAAGAAGTGAAACATTTCAGTTGCTTAACTGGGGGAATTAGCTTAAACCTGCGAAAGCCCCACAGATGGATGAGAAGCACAACACACTTAACATGTTGACGGCATTTACGGATTATGGAGATGCATTTCCATGAATAAAAACACTTTATCTCATTTTGGCTTCTGCCAAGAGTAATAAATTGCAGCTGAAAAGCATTGCATCCCTGCGCCCTGCGATTAGCACTTCGCATGGTTTGCATTCTGATGTGGCAGTCAGGCTGGATCAAGGGCAGCTTCACACAGGCTCCGTTCAGCTCAGTAACTGCCCTTTCGCCACATCTCTCAGGCAGAGACTTCTACAAGGTGGTGGGGTGTCATGCTGGGCCACAGCCTAGGATATATTAAAAAGGCTTCAATGAACTATATCTCTCAGGAGTTGTGTTGGTGGAGAGCTAGTCCAGAAAATTTACATTTCCAAGCTCTGTACTGGGCTAGCAAAGGTACTCTTTGCCTACTCTCAAAGAGTTTGCGTCTAAGCTTTTAATGGCGCTGTTACTCACAAGGACCCATTTCTGCCAAAACTCTGCAGATATTGTATGTCCTCAGAAGTCCTTGCCATTCAAATTATGCTTCCTAAACTTGCTTGCTTGGATGTAAGATTTATTCGTTTGTTTGTTTATAACATTTTAACCCGATCTTTCTCTTTTAAAAGACTCAAGGCGGTTTACATCAGTAAAGAACAATAGAAAATCTAACAACAGTGTGTAAACAAATACTAAAAAGGATCAAACAAATAACAGAAGTTACACCAAAACACATTCAAAGCAGCAAGGTGCAACAATCTTTTTAAAAACTCCCACTCAGGGAAAGCTTGCCTGAAGAGAAAGGTCTTTGCCTGCTTGTGGAAGGATAGCAAAGCTGTGGCCAGCCTGGTTTCCTGCCGGAGGGACTTCCATAATCTGGGAGTAGCCACGGAGAAGGCCCTCTCCTGTGTCCCTACCAAGTGTATCTGTGAGGATGAAAGAACGGCCTCTCCTAATGATCTTATTTTGAGCAGGCTCATAATGGGAGATGTGGTCCTTGAGGTAGCTTTAAAGGTTAGAACCAGAACTTTGAATTTAACTGGGAAAGGATTTTAACTTTGTTTTATTCCCTTAATTGCACAACAATAACATCAATAACGTTTGGAGTTTGAATTGTTTGGCAAGTCCTTAAGAAATACACCCACACAATCCACAACATTTAACCAGACACAGCTTTTGAGGGACTTGACTTGTGAGGGAAGCTGTTCTTGGGAAATGTTAATTTAATACTCGGTGCTGCACTGTATCTTCAAAGGCCAACCATGGGAATCAAGATCTCCGTTTTTACATAATTATGGTACAGTAGTTGGGAAAATGCATGAAATCATGACTATGCTGAATCATGGGAGGTTTCCTCCAGCAGGTGGAATAGGTTTGCTAGAAGCATAACAATACAGAGATGAAATGGGGGGTGGGTGGGTGTAACAGATATTGCTTCCACTCCTAATGGCCAAGCAGCTACTAGAGCATGGGCATTTGTTTACTGGCATTGTGTTTTTTTTTTGGGGGGGGAAGGGCTACTAAAACCATTGCTTTATAGAGAACTCCCTTCTTGAGGAGCACCAGCAGAAATCAGCTCCTATAGTGGAGCTGCCCTGCACTGCGTGGACTTTGGGATGTGGTACCGATATCATGGGTGCAATGAAAGTTGAAGAAATGCTCAGTGTGTGAATGGGCTGTGATGGGGATCAGGGTGAAAGTAAAGGTAGTATGTCTAACCCCCCTACCCCCTTCTTTGGTGAGTTCCCAAAGCACTGGAGCTATGACGGAGCAAAGGTTTGGGGGTGGGATACATTGTTGGAACTGCATGGATTCAGTGATGCACAGGTGCATCCTCATAATAGATCTTTAAGTAACTGGGCAGGGGTTGGGGGGGATGTCACATGGCAAAGCCTACCCCCTTGGCCCATTGTACTCCTGTTATGTTTCCTTCCCTTCCAAAAATGGTTCCAATTGATGAGAAGCTGCCTCAAGTCAGGATGTTCCTCCCTCTTATGGGTAGCTTCAGCAAGTGCCAGGTAGGTTAGGGTTAGGGTTAGGGCTAGGGCTAGGGTTAGGCAGCCATATTAATAAGGGATGCTACATCTGCAACAAGTGCCAGGACCTGGATACTGGCTGTGAGACTATACCTGGCCAAATGAACTGTACATTTCTAGGCAGGTTCAAATAACCCTTAACAGCATTGGTAGCCAAAGAGATGGTTGTGCCCCTCTGGAAGTCATGAAGATATTTGCAAGGGTGAAGAAGACATTGTGAATTTTTCATCATTTTCCACATTAAATCCACATTGGGTTTCTGTTATATCTTCAGATAAATCACATTTCTGTTAACTTTTTGTCAGAAGAAGAATGAATTGTGATGATCGTAATTCCTTTTTTTAAAACAAACTAAGTTTTTAAGTAACAAATTTAATTTTTTGTTAGAAGGGAGTGGGGTGATGGTAAATGAGGGAGTGGTGAGGATGTGTAGAGGTTTCTCAAAAATCAAAGAGAGATCACAATGCCAAAAAGTTTGGAAATTATTGTTTTAGTGAATCCTGAGGAATCGCAGCTAACTTTCACACTCCATTTCAGCAATAGCAGATTCATGTTTCTTTTTTCCTTACCCATTCCTTACTTCTCAGTAGCATTGCCCTCCTTTCCATTGTTACTGCAGTAAAGAATGATGCTGGAGATCATCCATCAGGAGCCTCCTTCCCATTAGTTGAGAACCTGCAAAGTCAAGTCTTAGCACTGCAAATTGGCATAGCTCACATGATAGCTTAATCCAAATTTAGATAATCTTTGTCACTCGTAAATTCTATAAGATAACTTTAGTAGTAACATTCTTGGCAGTTCAACAATTGCATTTTCCTTGTCCCCTTGTGCTCCCGCAGAAGGAATACATTTCTTTAAAAAATATATGTTAGTCAGCCAGCAGAATCCCCTGAGTATTTCAAAATGTCAGTTCTCCATGGTGCTCTGCTTGTTTCAGATATATTCTTGGAGACTGCTATCCTCAAGCTTGACAAAATATTAGTCCTTGTTAACTCCTAAATTTCTAACTTGCCTCTTCTTGCAGAATAATATGTCCATGTCTGAAATCCAACAGTAAGGCACAAATACAGAAGGCCTATTGAATCAATGGAAGTTATAAAAGGGGTTGACTTGCTAATTCCACACTGATCTAATGTGGTCCAGTTTCAAAGTTATAATTTTTTGTTTGAGGTGTCCCTATTGTTTTTGTTGCTTTACACTCAGAATGCTGATTAGCTCTGTTGCACAATATCTATTGTTCCTGCACTCCTGTGCAGCAATAATAGATCCCCTAGTGAGACTGCAGTGCTTACCTGACATAGCACTAAACTGGAAAACCATAATAAAAATTGTGTGAAAGAGAGAGAAGAGGTGTTTACTTGAGGGAGATGTTCTCACTGTACTGGCAAATCTTTCCATGCAGTATTGGATGTCAGTACAGAACAAAAAAGAAGAAAGTCTAAGACTCAACAAAACCTGGCTCCCAGCACTGAAAAACACAGCCTGCAAAAGGTCACAAGGACCAGTGACCAATGCACACAAAAAGACTAGCTAACAACACCTGTCAATCACAGTGACAGACGTCTCCCCCCTTATCACAACAATACACCCTGATCACTATAATCACCGAATCTCCTGAAAAGGACGAAAAGCTGATTCCACAGCTATAAATACTCAACTATCCCACACACTACGAGAACACAGAGTTTTAATTCCTGTCCTCTGAAGATGCCACTCACAGAGACTGGTGAAACATTAGGAAGAAAAACCTTCAGAACATGGCCAAACAGCACAAAAAACCTATAACAGCCATTTTAGATTATGCTTTCCTGATTGAGTGCTATCTCAGATAAGTGCTGCAATATCATAAGTTACTCTATTAATTCAGTGCTATGTCATTTGCCATTTTTTAAATACCTCATTGCCAACAATACTCTAGGGCATTCCTGCCACTACACCTTTGGACTGATACCGTATTTTCCCGAAACAGGGTCTTATATTAATTTTTGCTCCAAAAATGCATTAGGGCTTATTTTATGTTTTATTTTTTTCATGTACAACAATATACATTTATTTAAATACAGTCATAGCATCTTCTGGTTGCTGCACAATGGTGGAGGGTGGGTTTCACTTTTGTTGTTGTTTAGTCATGTCCGACTCTTCGTGACCCCATGGACCAGAGCACACCAGGCCCTCCTGTCTTCCGCTGCCTCCCAGAGTTGGGTCAAAGGTCTTATATTGCGAGCATCCTGAAAAAATCATACTAGGGCTTATTTTCAGGTTAGGTCTTATTTTCAGGGAAACAGGGTATAGGCAATCAATCACACATACACAAACCAGGAAAAATGTGATGCTAATGGAATCATTATAAGATAACACTTCTCCCTGCTAGGTGAACAAGAAGCAATGAGCATCTATGAAAAAAGATTGGGCTTACTTGTGATTAGCTGTATGGAATGTTGTCAGTAGAAAATGTATTGAATTCAACTGTGCTGCTGTTGTTATGTGATGTGAAGTCACTTCCAAATGAGTGATCTCTAAAATGTCCTGTCCTCAACAGTCCCACTCAGCTCTTATAAGCTCAAACCTATGGTTCCTTTAGGGACTCAATCCATCTCATATTTGATCTTCCTCTTTTCCCGCTGCCTTCAAAATTTTGCTTTTTTCCAGGGAATCTTACCTTCTCATTATGTTTCCAAAGCAGGACAAGCTCTGTATCATCATTTTTGCCTCCAGAAAAAAGGTTTGGTCTTGATTTGCTCTGGGACCCACTTGTTCATCTTTCTGGCAGCCCATAGTATCCACAAAGCTCTCCTCCAGCACCACATTTCAAATGAATCATTTTTATTCCTGTCAAGAGTTCTTCACTGTCCAGCTTTCACACCCATACCTAGCCATCAGGAATATAATAGTGTGGATGATCTTGGCCTTTGTCTCCAGTGACACATCCTTACACTTGATGATCTTTGCTAATTCCG